TAACATTACATAGGGAACATGAAGCCATCTCTGGAACGAATAAATCTGAGAAGGGTAAATAATTTTAATGTTCAGAGTAATGGGTGGGGGGGGAAGAGTCCATACTTGGGGTTTCATAAGTTACAGATTGGATTCCCTCTAGACCCACATGCATGTCAGTGAGAATGATAGGGCCATACAGTGTAGTAAAGAAAGCGAAAAATGCGGCTGAAGAGCCTGCTTAGCAAGCACGTAGTTACTACTGAGGCTCGCAGGACCTATGTCTAGCCTTATACACTGCGTATGGCTTACGCGTGTCTTCTTGGTACTCTGCCTTGACAAAAAATGAAAAGATAGCTGCAAATCACCCAGAACCAAAATCGTAAGATTCATCTGGGGCTGGACAAGAGAATGTAGGCCGGATGATTCACAGCAGTAATTGGATATGCTGAATGTTGAAGAAGAGTAACACAATGACGCTAATATGTTTATAAAAATTGCTCACAAACAGTGTCCAGAATATCATTGCTGTCCATTTTTGTCAGGATGGGAACGAGAACTTAGTACAGGGGGAGAGAGCACAACTTTGTAGTACCCCAGTCAGTGGCCAGGCTTCAAAACTTCTTTGCTAACTGCACATAAGGAATGGAACAGACTACCACAACTGTCAAGTGCAGTCATAGCTTGAACAGATCAAAGACTGCCAAAAGTGTCTGATGACTGAAGCAACAGCAGGGAGGGGAATGTTTTTCTATTTTTTTTAAGCTAAAATCGTGTAAATTTTACCTTTCCCTAGTAATGACCCTGTATGTAGATAGGTGTATGACCTCGGGTAGAGATAGTCTTAATGACCCTCGAATATGATATCTTAATGACAATGTGTAGGAGATAGTTTTTTAGTATGATAATAGATGTTATCTTCAGTATGCTAATAAGAAAATATTTAACCTTTATATTCTAATAAATAAGGTAAAAGGACCAATGGAAATAAGTCACTTCTGTTGATTTTTTGGGTTATCTAGGGTTCTTACACTTCTGCTGTATGTATGATCATTTATGTAACTGTATTGTGTATACCTGAATAAATTTACTTACTTACTTACTTACTTACTTACTTACTCGTTAACCTCTCACTCCATCACACATCACAAGACATGACTCGTTAACCTCTCACTTCATCACACATCACAAGACATGACTCGTTAACCTCTCACTCCTCACACACACAAGACATGACTCGTTAACCTCTCACTCACTTCATCACACATCACAAGACATGACTCGTTAACCTCTCACTTCATCACACATCACAAGACATGACTCGTTAACCTCTCACTTCATCACACATCACAAGACATGACTCGTTAACCTCTCACTCCATCACACATCACAAGACATGACTCGTTAACCTCTCACTCACTTCATCACACATCACAAGACATGACTCGTTAACCTCTCACTCACTTCATCACACATCACAAGACATGACTCGTTAACCTCTCACTTCATCACACATCACAAGACATGACTCGTTAACCTCTCACTCACTTCATCACACATCACAAGACATGACTCGTTAACCTCTCACTCACTTCATCACACATCACAAGACATGACTCGTTAACCTCTCACTCACTTCATCACACATCACAAGACATGACTCGTTAACCCTCACTCACTTCATCACACATCACAAGACATGACTCGTTAACCCTCTCATCACTTCATCAACATCACAAGACGTGACTCGTTAACCTCTCACTCACTTCATCACACATCACAAGACATGACTCGTTAACCTCTCACTCACTTCATCACACATCACAAGACATGACTCGTTAACCTCTCACTCACTTCATCACACATCACAAGACATGACTCGTTAACCTCTCACTCACTTCATCACACATCACAAGACATGACTCGGTAACCTTTTAATCACTTCATCACAAACCCCAAGGGACATACTCTTTAAACCCTCTCCCCCCTTCATCACACACCCAAAAGGGAAAAGCCCGAAAACCCTCTCACCATTTCAAAACCAATCACAAGACTGATCGAAAACCCTCCCCACCCCCACTTCATACACATCAAAGACATGACTCTTAATCTAAATCACTTCTTCACACTCACAAGACATAAATCTTTTAACCCTTATCACTTCATCACAAAATCAAAAGGACATGACCTTTTAACCCTCTCATCACTTCATCACAACCCAAAAGACATGACTCTTTAAACCCTTTCCCACTCACTTCATAAACCATCACAAAAAAGATCTTTAACCTCCCCACTCACTTTTAACAAATTCACAAGACATGACTCTTTAACCTCTCCCCAACTTCATAAACACATCCAAGACATACTCTTAAAAACCCTCATTCTTAAAGAAAGTTACATCCTTTCGGGGGACTTTCCCAAACCGGATCCTCCGGATGGGACCAAAGGGTTACCTGGACCCTTTACGGGAAAGGTGACCAGGAAGGTTGCCCCTTGGACCCTACAGGATGGGACCAGGGGGTTGAATTTGGATCCTACAGGGGGTGCCCGGGAAGGGTTTGGGCCCTTTGACCCTTTCCCGGATGGGGGAAAGGGAAAGGGTTTTTGCCCTGGACCCTACAGGATGGTGCCCCGGGAAAGGGTTTTGCCCGGGATCCAACGGGAAGGTAAACCAGGAAGATTGACCTGGACCCTACAGGGGGTTGACCAAAAGGGTTTTGACCTGGTTTTCCAACAGGATGGTGACCGGGAAAGGTTGCCGGACCCTACGGAGGGTGACCGGGGGAAGGGTTGACCTGGACCCCTACAGGATGGTGCCCTTTGGAGATACACCTTGGGAGATACCCTCTCGGTAATACACTGAAGATAAAACCTCTCGGGTGAAATTTTCACTGGGAGATAAAACCTCTGGGGGTTAAAAAAAAACCTGAAGATACCCCCTCCCCGTGTATATCACGAGAGATACACCTTCAGTGTATAACTTTGGGGGGATAACCCCCCAATGTATATACACGGGAGAAAAACCCCTTTCAGTGTATATACACTGGGAGATACACCTCTCAGTGTATATACACTGGAAGATACACCCCTCAGTATATATACACTGAGAGATACACCTCTCAGTGTATATACACTGAGAGATACACCTCTCAGTGTATATACACTGAGAGATACACCTCTCAGTGTATATACACTGGGAGATACACCTCTCAGTGTATATACACTGGAAGATACACCCCTCAGTGTATATACACTGAGAGATACACCTCTCAGTGTATATACACTGAGAGATACACCTCTCAGTGTATATACACTGGGAGATACACCTCTCAGTGTATATAGACTGAGAGATACACCTCTCAGTGTATATACACTGGGATATACACCTCTCAGTGTATATACACTAAAGAGATACACCTCTCAGTGTAATATACACTGGGAATACACCTCTCAGTGTATATACACTGAGAGATACACCTCTCAGTGTATATACACTGGGAGATACACCTCCCAGTGTATATACACTGAGAGATACACCTCTCAGTGTATATACACTGGGAGATACACCTCTCAGTGTATATACACTGAGAGATACACCTCTCAGTGTATATACACTGGGAGATACACCTCTCAGTGTATATACACTGGGAGATACACCTCTCAGTGTATATACACTGGGAGATACACCTCTCAGTGTATATATCCTGACATGTTGATAATTAAGACACTTGATCAACATTCGGGTGTCTTTATACTGGACAAGTTGCAGCAGCCAGTGACGTCTTCAGTCCAATACAGTAAAGGAAGGAAGAAAATGAAGAGGAGTTTGAGATAATCAGTCCCGGCCTCAGATGGTTACAGCTGGTCACACTCCACAGACCCAGCCTCAGATGGTTACAGCTGGTAACGCTCCACAGACCCAGCCACAGATGGCTACAGCTAGCCACACTCCACAGACCCAGCCACAGATGGCTACAGCTGGTCACACTCCACAGACCCAGCCACAGATGGTTACAGCTTGTCACACTCCACAGACCCAGCCACAGATGGTTACAGCTGGTCACACTCCACAGACCCAGCCACAGATGGCTACAGCTAGCCACACTCCACAGACTCAGCCACAGATGGCTACAGCTAGCCACACTCCACAGACCCAGCCACAGATGGCTACAGCTGGTCACACTCCACAGACCCAGCCACAGATGGTTACAGCTGGTCACACTCCACAGACCCAGCCACAGATGGTTACAGCTGGTCACACTCCACAGACCCAGCCACAGATGGCTACAGCTGGTCACACTCCACAGACCCAGCCACAGATGGTTACAGCTGGTCACACTCCACAGACCCAGCCACAGATGGCTACAGCTAGCCACACTCCACAGACCCAGCCACAGATGGTTACAGCTAGCCACACTCCACAGACCCAGCCTCAGATGGTTACAGCTGGTCACACTCCACAGACCCAGCCACAGATGGCTACTGCTAGCCACACTCCACAGACCCAGCCACAGATAGCTACAGCTAGCCACACTCCACAGACCCAGCCTCAGATGGCTACAGCTAGCCACACTCCACAGACCCAGCCACAGATGGCTACAGCTAGCCACACTCCACAGACCCAACCTCAGATGGCTACAGCTAGCCACACTCCACAGACCCAGCCACAGATGGCTACAGCTAGCCACACTTCACAGACCCAGCCACAGATGGCTACAGCTAGCCACACTCCACAGACCCAGCCTCAAATGGCTACAGCTAGCCACACTCCACAGACCCAGCCACAGATGGCTACAGCTGGTCACACTCCACAGACCCAGCCACAGATGGTTACAGCTGGTCACACTCCACAGACCCAGCCACAGATGGCTACAGCTGGCCACACTCCACAGACCCAGCCTCAGATGGCTACAGCTAGCCACACTCCACAGACCCAGCCACAGATGGCTATAGCTGGTCACACTCCACAGACCCAGCCACAGATGGCTACAGCTAGCCACACTCCACAGACCCAGCCATAG